AGGGTTTGGAAGACTATAGAATAAGAAAGGTAAAGTGATGCAATTTGTAGCAGGACTTTGGTAAGTAAAATGTTTCAGAGGCTCACAATTTAAAGGAGGTGGAGAGATCCATCTGGTGTTATCTTTGCCTTGTTGTTTCATTGAGAATTACACCTGCTACCAAACGCCCAGAACAGAAGAGTTAGCAAATATCAAGAAAGAGTAGCTGCAGGGAACACCGTTCAGAATCCTCAAGTACACCCTGGCTGTGGTTGATTCACCAGAGAGCAGGGACTGTTCCTAATCATGTGAAGACTATGGAATTAGCCATGGCTGCTTTGAGAAAATGCATACTTTCTTTCTTAAATGTTGTATAGTCATGGGAAAGTACTGACTGTAGTGATATATTGTTTATGATCTAATAAAGCTTGCCTGGAGATCAGAATGCAAAGGTAGACACAGCCATAGAGGCAAGGCAATAGTGGCGCACACCTTTAATCCCAGGACTAAGGAGACTGAGACAGATGGATGTCTGTGAGTTCAAGGCCACCCTGGGATACATAAAAGTGAATCAGTCTAAAAGAGAAACAGAGCTCACACCTTTAATCCCAGAACTAGAGAGGTATATAAGACAGGAGCAGGTTTCAGACCTGGGAATTTAGTCTCCAGCCATGCTGAGAACAGGATTGATCCAGCTTTGGGAGAGGTAAGAGCTCTCTGGTGGTTTTGCTGCTTTGCTTTTCTGATCTTCAGCTTAAATGCCAATATGTGTCTCTGGGTGTAAATGGAGTTCTTAATTGGTCTAAGTAATAAAAACCCAGAGTCAGACATAGAGGAAAATGCTGAAAGATCAGAAGAAGGAGCAAGCCACCACCACACCTTATCTCTTTAGTATCTCAGCAGACAAGAAAGAGAGTTCTTTTGTCCCTGCCTTAATGCTGTTTCCACCCAGCTCACTTCCTGTCTGTCTGTCTGTACAGACCTCCAGACCTCTATGGTTAGCTAGTAGCAAGCTCTATTCTCTGACCTTCAGACAGGCTTTATTTGTACATGCAAGATATTACCACATCTGGGTTTATATTATTTCTGCTATAACCGATTCTTTCTGCCTTGTTTTCACATTGGAATGAGCTCCACATAGTTGTCAGGCAACAGCTGTTAATAATTACAGAGAAGGCATTTTAAAGTTGCCCCAGCCAGAACATTCCTTGTGTGTTTGAAATGATAATTTATCAGCTGACAACTTTTTCCTTTGCTTCACTCAGTTGTGATTGTTTTGCCTTTGGTTGCACTTACCTTCTCTGGGAGGCACCACACCTACCTCACTCTGATCACATGTTCCTTTCTTCCTAGCTGAAGGCTCCACCAAGTCCAGTTCAGACTGATCTTTGGTCGTGGCTATTAACTGACTTCACACCAGCTGTATAGCACTTAGGACATCAGTCTGGAGACCAGAAGTTAGGGAATGGTTCACCAAAGCTGTTGTCCACTTCCAGATTTCAATTGGATGCTTTAGAATAAATTGTCTGGCTCCGTGTAATTGACTACACTCAGTTCATTTCTGTGGAGGCTTGCTGTGTTTTATTGTTAGGAAGAATAAAAAGAATGTTTAGTTACCCTTTGTGTTGGAGTTTATGATAAGCACATCTGTATAGACAAACTGATTTGAGTTTCCATAGAGTTCAAAATGCATTGCCACTTAGATTTGCAGACACAAGTGATACTTACTAAGTCACAAAGAAAGTCATGGCAGGACAGAGGTGTGAAGCTGCCAGAGCATCGGTGAGCTAAGGGACTGCACCAGGAAGGGGGATGAGTGTAGAGATGTGGCTGACAACCACATCCCTAGTTTCTGTCTTAACTCTCAACCTTCAGTGTCGGCACACTACCTGAATATTGCATCTATACGGTCATTCCGAGACTGAACAACTCGTCTTCTGTTTGCTTTTTCCCTTTTCCCTGTTTACTTATTTAATTGCTTCAGCTTTTTTGTTACTTCATGGAAGTGAAATTCAGCTGTGTCATGGCATCAGATAGCAAAGGTTAATGTACTCTAGGTTTTGCGGCTTCCTGGACAAGTTAGCCGTTGTCCCTCAGGACTCATCCTTTTTTTTTCTTCTTTAGTTGAAGTATGCGGGTGTCTTGCCTGTGTGTGTGTCTGTCTGTTCATCGCATCTGTGCCTGGTGCCCTGAGAGGTTAGAAGACGAGAGGACAGTGTAGGGTCCCCTGGAACTGGAGTTCCAGACTGATGTGAACTGCATGTGAGTCCTGGGGATTGAACACAGGTCTGTTGGAAGAGCAGCCAATGCTATAGCTGCTGAGCCACCTCTCCATCCCCAAGGAACTTGACTTCTTTACATTATTATAAGTGACTGGGGGTAATTGCCTAAGGCTGCTTCCTCACCACATAGTAATTTTAAAACATAATTTAGAGTCAATGGCATTTCTATGTAAGAATATAGATACTAGGTTTTAATTTAAGGACATTGAAAAGAAAAATTCTTTTTGAGAAAAAATTAGCCTCACTGGGTTTAGATAACATGGCTAAGGGCCTAAAGCTCACATAAAGATACTTAGTCATAGACTTTTATCCCTAATCCTTCTAACATAAATTCTCCACAAACTTGGCCTGTCTGTCTCTCTGAATTTCACTTTCTTACTCTATGCATGCTAATAACTCATGTGCTTGTGGATGCTCTGAGCAGATCATCATGTGAGCATACCCTGAGTTTCAATTGTGTGAGCACACCCTGCTGTGTTCATTACCTGGGCCTCTGGCAGTGTCTTCACTCCTGTCTCAGCACGAAGATAGTTTCTCTTGGCTCCTACAGAGTTTGGTTTATACTCTTTACTGCTAAACAGTCTTTCATTCACCAGCTGTGATAAACGCCCCCTCCCTCCGAATTTGCCATGCTTTCTTAGATGCATGTGGTTTGTTTCATTCCCCTCTAAATCATAAGCATTTGGTAAGTATGCACATTGTCTTACTTCTCACTGTGTCCTAGGGTCTAAAATATACACAGTAAATTTCTTTTGAGGTCAATTGAATGACATGGTGTCGCTGACAAGAATTTACCTGCATGTTATTTTCTGAGTGTGGTGACATTCACACTGTCACTTCACAAGTGGGGATCTGCAGGCTACTTAACCAAGGGTGGACTCTCAACCCTACCCCTGCTCAGGATAACTGAGTTCTCTATTAATGCTGCTTGGGATAACCGAGTTATCATTAATGCTGCCACATCCCTTTCCTAGCGAAGTTGTCTCCACTCCGCCACAGAGCTCCATTATTCTAAGGGGTCAGTGACGTCACACTGTTCTCGGTTCTGCCTTACTTGAGTTCTTTGAGTGAACACTCTCTTCGTTTAAATTTTTTTCCTCCAGCTTCTCTAATTCAGGATGATATATTACAAGACACACGAGGTATTCTTTCTACCCTCTGTGGGCAACACTTCTAATTCTGTTTAGGGTGATTTTCTTCCATGACTGAGCAATTGGAGTCCCCAAAGATCATTCCCATGAACCATCCTTTTTTTTTTTCTTTCCTTCATTGGTGTTTTTTCTAGGAAATTGTATCCACTGTGCATAGCCTATGAAATGTCTTATACACTACTCACTGGGATACTAGATTCTTTAGGAAACACTTAGCTGCAAAGTCAAGCATCTTTTGGTTAGGTTTTATCCCAATTTCGTGTGTGTGTGTGTGTGTGTGTGTGTGTGTGTGTGTGTGTGTGTGTGTTTGCATGCATGATACATTCTTGTGCAGAGGCCAGAGGACAACTTAAGGAAGTCAGAACTCTCCTTCCACCATATGAGTTCTGGGCATGGAACTCAAGCGGTCTGATCTCATTATCTTGTCCTTCAAATGCGTTATTCTGTATCTTGATCTCCCCATCTGCCCTCCCCAATTGCCTATCACATAACTGCTGTGTCCCTTCAAGTCACTTATCAATGTTCCAGTTACGTTTAATGGCATCTTTTCTGGTCCACTGAAAATGAGTTCTTCTTCAGGGGCATCTCTTGAAAATTTCCGAAACCTTTAAAAAGCAATTATTATGAGCTAAATTTGGGCTGTCTTAGGAGCTCGATATATAGATCAGGCTGGCTTTGAACCCAGAGAGTTCCTCCTGCCTCTGCCTCCTGAGTGCTGGGATTAATGGCATGTGTTTCTTTGCCCAGCCTAAAACTGGTTTTAATCCTTGGAATAAGTATTTACTTATTTAGTGCTGGCTTACTGCTTTTTCTCAGAAACTTGTAGGTGATTGCTGTGGCAGCTGTTCTAAAGAATTAGGAAGGCCCAGCTTCTGCAGTGTGCCCCGTGATGCTCAGGCCTTTTCAGTCTGTCTGTGTTTTGTCATGGATGCTCTGCTGACCACAAATCCATTCCTACTGTGAAGAACTAAGGCTAATCCAATCCTTGTAGGAAAAGGTTATCATTTTGGTTGTTTGCAGTCTCCATATCTTGGTTGTCTCCTTCTACAGACCTTTTGTTCTGCTGCTGTCTCTCCTCTAATAAAGTAAGGAATCTGGTCAGTGTTTTTGTAAGGGTAACTGTTTCCAGGGTAGCACTGGAAAACTCAGCTAAAGAATGTCGTGGAAGATAGCCAATCATGGTACTGGACCGACCACATTCCACACAGGTCATTGTTTAGCTGACTGCCATTAACTTTCTTTGTTAGGTCACCCTAAGCATGAGTTTGCATAAATATCTCTTATCATTGTGACTCAGCACATTTCAGAGAGTGTGCATCTTACTGTATTGAAAGTAGTCAGGCTGGTAATAATGACTAGAAGAAAATCAAGGTATGTATATTTAACTAAAAGGTGTCTATCAGAATTCACAGGCCTTGTTTATTATGTGTATGCTAATTTTTCATCCTTAGCACAATAATAGCAAAATTAATATTGAGGAGATAGTAAATGGAATGTAAAAAAATCCAGGCTTTTGAGTTTTTTCAAAGTATCATTTACTAAGTAGCTAAATATTTTTCACATAGGAAATCAGGATAAGAGGAAATAATCAACTTTAACACAGTGTTAGTAGTTTATTACATTAATAACAGTGAGCAGAATTTGACTGTCCTAGGCTTACAGAAACATGGTGGGCTTTTGTAAGTTGAGCACAACATGAAGTATTAAACGACTCCAAATTCCAAGTCTATAATATAAGGCAAAGTTCAGACCACTGAGCATCTCCTTTCTTGGCAGGCTCTGTGTTTCCACTCAGACACAGGCTGATCTTGCTTGCCCAACATCTCCCATTTAAGAACTTGTTTCTTAAAATAGTTGCTTAAATGATTTAAACTGGTAGAAGACTTTTATTTTTGTTTTTCCTGGGAGGAAATGTTAAAAGGCTGTAGTACTATAGAATATTTTAAGTATTTCCCCAGAATCACCACTTAGCATTAATCCAGAAAAAACGATGATAACCAAAACCCTCCAAGACAAGAGATAGCTTACTAATTATCTTGAAGATAAATGTTAAAAACTTAAGTGTACTTCAAGCTCCAACTTGAATTATTAAAATCTTTAATCTTTATAGAAGGCAGAGTTCTCATATCCCGAGCTGACTGGGACACAAGATGTCTCTTCACACTGAACTCTTTGGTCAGTCCCTGAGGTCCGGTTTCTGCACCCCCCTCCCCGGCTCCCTGTCGTCCTGTGGCGAACCTTCTCTACTGCTGCAGCTGGAGTCAGAATTCCAGAGCCACCAGACCACACTTTGTGGAAGGGAAAACCGATGCTGCTGGTTTTCTTTTTGTCTCCCAGTGTCTGTTTTGACAGTTCTGCTTCTTGGGAAAGCGGTGGCTCTCCTCAAGACTGGCTCAGGCTCAGTTGCCACAAATCTCTTCCTTCACTCGAGGGCGTGTGCTGGAGCAACTCCACATAAAAAAAGACATATTCAGTGTTTGCTTTGTTTTCTCTCTGGGTTAAAGACATGGAAATTTACAAGAGAGCAACTACTAAATGAGACCTTAAAATCGGAAAGTGCTGAGTGTGCTCAAAGTCCGCCAGACAGGTCCCAGCAGGAGAGGAGGGGGAGGGAGGGGGAGAGAGAGACTAAGACTAAAATGACAGGGTAAGTGTGGAGGAGACAGGCAGGCGAGGGAACAACAGGTCACACACAGGGTAAAGGTTAACAATTCAACATAAAAATTGAGTGTTTCAACCCCAGAGATTGAGGAAGAGGAGGAGAGAACATTGCTGGACAAAGAACAATTGCACAATACTGTTGTCACCACAGGGTATGCTGAGTCAGACATTCCAAACTGCATTTTCTATATATTACCTTGTATGCCACAATATATATATATATATATGTGTGTATATATATATGCTATTAAACTCATTTTTTCTTATCAACTTTATTTTTAATAATCTTATTGGAATTTTTCATTCGATATATTGTGATCACAGTTTCCCTTTCTCTAACTCCTCCCAGGTCCTCCCCACCTCCCCACTTACCCAATTCCAAGTCCTTTCTTTAGAAAACAAACAAGCAAACAAAAAACCCAGAATTAAAAAAAGAAAGAAAGAAAAAACAAGAAACACACACACACAATAAGAACCCGTAAAAAACACAAAACTGAAAGCCATAACATATAAGCAAAAGACCAATAGAAAAAAAAACAAGGAAAGAATACAAAGCCCTAACAAAGCAGTGAGACACAAAGTTTACAAAAATACCATTGCGCTGTTTTTGTTGGCCATCCCCTGCTGGGCACAGGGCTGCTCCTGAAGTGTGGTTTCTAACCCAGTGAGACTCGGTTGGAGAAAAATCATTTTTCCTTTGCAAGCAGATGTCAGTTACAGATAGCTCCTTAGGGTTGAGAGCTCATGTCCACACCCCACTCTTAGCGCTGGGACCCTGAACCTGTGCCACGCCACAGACTGTGTGAGTTCATGTATTTGTCAGTTCTGAGGTTTCTGGAATTTGCTGATTAAACTCTTTTTTTTTTTTTAAAGTTTCATTGGACAGTGGTGGTTTATGCCTTATTCCTTTAATCCCAGTACTCGGGAGGCAGAGGCAGGTGAATCTCTGTGAGTTTGAGGCCAGCCTGGTCTAGTTTCAGGACAGTCAGGGCTGTTACACAGAGAAACTCTTATCTCGAAAAACCAAAAGAAAATAAAAGAAAAGCTTTGCCTTGGCTTCTTAACTTCTCTTTCCCAAAAACGCATTTTCTCTGAGGAAACCATCATCAGATTGTACTGGAAGCAGGACACCATGCCTTAAAAGGTGTAAAGTAAGAGTGGATCTATTCTCCAAAATACAGAATACCAACACATAACGCGTACAAAGCTAAATAAAGAAACCACAACAAATTGCCATAATACACTTTTGCTAAAAATATATTTTGATAAAAACACATGTGGAATCTATCATTGGGGCCCCTTGTCAGGTTTTGGAAAGAATTCTTGCATGAAAGGGGGTTAAAGCCAAAAGCTTTATTAGCGTCTTGGTAAATCTGCCTGCAGACTTACTGACATGGATCGCACTTGGGCAAGTTGTCGAAACTTTCACATTCCAGAGACCTTCTCATGGAAGCATTTTTGAAGGAGGAGATAGGGGCCATCACAATGCTGCCCAATGTTCCCAATGCACTCAGAACTACTTGAGTAATACCATGCATAGGAAACTACAAGGTTGGAAAGTTCTCCCCATGTATATGCTTCTTACAAGGGGAAAATTTTACCTCAATCAATGTTCAAAATTATCTAAACCTTCAACGAATCTGTTTCTAATTACTATCGAATTTGACCTTTCATTTTTCTTTGAATAAGTTTTTAGTACTTTATATTCCATATTTGTGACAATATGATTATTATCACCATTTTAATGTGATCCAAGTTAGAGCTAATCATTTATGGAAGAAAGCATTACAGTTTTGCAGATCATTTCAGTGTGCATTTTAATTCTCTCATTGCACACGTCTGTCACTTGGTTGTCTCCTGGCAATCATAGTATTCTTTTAGCTTCATATCGCTTTTAATTTTTTAATAGTATGGAGAATTCGTGATTAGTGTAACCCAGGATACAGAAGAAAATTGAAATAGTTGATGAAGGCATGCAAAAATGTAAGGAAGAGGGGGGTGAATGTAGTATACAGGAAATGATAGGAAGAATGGGGCTACAGCGTGACAAGAAAGCAAAGACACAGAACAGGGAACACTGGGAACTGACAAGATTAGAGGACTATGGTCCTACATGGAAAAAACAAAAGCAGGAAGTTGGCACCAGGTTAGGTGGAACTGTACCTTGTATTAAGGTCCAAGGATTTCGTCATTTGCTAAGTGGCCATTGTAGGCTGAGAGGGTCAGATGATCAGCTAGATATAAACAGGAAGGTAGAGTCAGAGAGGTGGGTCTCAGTCCGGACAGCTCATCATACTGTCTGGGGAGAGTTAAAACACATGAAAGCCTGGGTCTCCAAGGACGACTAAGCCTGAATGTGTAGGTGGGTTGAGGCACTGTTGGGTCTGAAAACTCAACAGGTGATTCTTGTTCTAACTTGTGGTTAGAACAGCTGTCGGCTTCTACAGAAACTACTGTAGACCTAGTGGGCAATGTCCTCTGTCCTGTTCATCCTTCACTCATAAATCAGAATATTTGAGAAAAAGATCTGGGTGAAAGCAGTTTTGAAAGTCCCCATAATGTTTCCAATGTGAAACCATTTTAGGAGCTGCTGATCTGGGGGATTGTTTTCTGTGATCTAGTTTGCCTCATTCATCAAGGACAACTACAAAGTGGCAGGTCTTATGTAATAAAATCACACATCTTGTCTGGAACTGTAAGCACAGAAAGGAAACAGACTAACAAAATTATAATAACAGGATCTTGAAAACCTTAGGGAAGTCACCCCACCACAAAAAGAGGCTTGGAAAGGATAGTTGAGTTGTTTCTAGTCACTTGGATAGTTAATAATGGAATATTTTGACAAATCGCTTTCATCTTTTTTTTTAATTTACAATGCTGACTCTTAAATTAAAACTCTTATTATGAAATGGGAAACACTAGAAGTCCCCCAAACATATGGACAAGGTCGGTGTACAGTTGTCACAGAACTCTACCACCAACAGTAAGAGACCACAAAGCACAGAAAAGCTGACCAGAGAGCAATTAAATTGAGCTATGAAGTGCTGATGCTAAGCAGTTATGAGAACTCTTCAACCAAAGAGGCAGTTATTGGGTAAGAGCTATTTAAGAGGTTACAACTGTGGGGGTCTGTAGCTTTGGAATGGCATGTGGGCTTCCTAAGGTCAGACACTCAGTTCTAAAAGGAAATTTTGCAATTATTACTTAGTTCCTCTACCATATGGCTGTCATGCGTTTTCATATTCTCTGAATTAATACCTGAACTAATCCAATATAGAAGAATTCAAAATGAAAGCAGTTCTTGTTTGATGGGTAAAATTAACAACATGTGATAAATTCTGATTCTGACACACACTTCCTTGTGTTTTCCTGTGCTTTCATTTCAGGATACAATCTGTGGGGGGGGATGGTGGCCATATTCTGATGATAGGTTGCTGGCTGCAGTGTTGTTTCCAACTGTTTCCTGGTCTTCCCCTCTTTGCCAGTGGCCATAGTAAACTTGCTGATAGGCCTAAAAGCAACTTGAAGGAGGTAAGGTCATAGACCTGGGAATCAGATGTCTCCATGGTCTGGAATGAGTTGGCCAGATCCTCAACCTAATGGGAGAACACAGAAGTCACCTTCCTTGCTGCTCTTAAGGGGCCATTATTGGAAGCATTTCCATATGCAAAGTCCATAGACAATTCACGGGCTTCTGGGTAGCTACAATTCCTTAGAAACTGCTTATAAAACTTCTGTGCTTTGCCTGCATTTTTCCTGGAGAAAGGCAATCCATCATTTTTATTAAGTGTTCAGAATGAGAAGACCACATGATACTTAAAAGTTACAGCTAAGGAAAGGAAAGGGTGATGGGGGTCAGTTTTAGTTTCACAATTAAAGCTGTCCAGAAATGGAATGAGATACCATGAGAGGTTGCAAACTTCCAGACCATCTGGGCAGAATATCACACAAGGAACTCAAGCAACAAATGCATGGCTGAAATACATTTTTTTTACGTTTCTGTGAGACAAATGGCTATGTATAAGGGGAAAAAACATATGAATATAATGTGAATGCTGATGAGGTTAGGAACCCTAAACCTAAAAGCCATTATAAGGACAAGAATTGTGAATAGTAAGGAGGAACTTCAGCCTTGAAGAACATTTTCTATACAAGTACATTATTGTGGTATTTAATAGGACCAAACTGTTAACATGAAGATGTTGGTAGAGAACTATAGGTGGGAATATAGTGGTTAAAATGCCAGTCTTAGCTAGAATGGATGTGTACTGAAATTATTCTTCTTGGTGGCACACATTTGTGGTCCTAGAATTTACAAGGCTATTTAAGACAAGTCTGGGCTATACACACCTTGTTTAAACAAAGGAAGCTGAATAAGAAAAATATGTTGTGAACTACTAGGCTGGTTGAATTTTCCTCTGGTTTCCTTATTCACTAGTCATGTATGACCACATATGGCTACCCTGTTTTGCGTTCATAAAATGCAATGCCAATGATACCAGCAGTCAAATAAGCAGAAGAAATTGTGCTAATAACTAAAAACTGGGCCAGATATGGCAGCATACCCTTTTAATTCTAAGTGAATCTCTGGGAGTTCAGGGATAGCATGATCTACAGGAGTGCATAGGGAGAAACTGTCTCAAAAAGAAAAATTAAATGTCATATGATCACTGGTATGTGTAGTATTCAGCTAACAATATTTGATTTCCATTAGAAACTCATTTATTTGCTATTTGATGCAGGAAAAATTCCTTTTCTATATTCATGCTTCCCATACATAGAGGATAGTGGACACACAATGAACAAAAGTAATACCTCATTCAAAACCAGCCATAACAGCTAAGGTTCAACAGTATCCTGAAGGGTCTTGTGGAGGAAGAGAAGTTCAACAGTAATTTTATAAATTTAGGCTTCTATTAGCATACTCATTCTTCAGTTGGGAGCCATGGTTTGGAAATCCTCAGTTTAGTAAAATTTCATCATTCAGGTTTGGTAGAGTCCTACCCATGTTTCCAGTCTATGGTGTCTAATTTCTATCTCATGGTTATCATTCAGAATGTTTGAGAGATTCCTTAGACATCGCTAAATTCTAGTTTAGCTACTTTATAAATCTCTGTATTCCTCTCCATGGGGAGATTGATCTTCGTCTTCTCTCCACAAACTGAAGGTATCAGAAGGAATTATTTTTCCCTCACAGACAGCGTTTTCATTTTTCTTATGCTCCCCCTGAAATCAAACTTTTCCTTCCTGGTCTTAAATATGGACATCGTTTGTGTCTGTAGATTTCAGGAAAGTCCTGATTTGTTCCCAAGTTAGAGTGGGGATTCCCAAGCCGGGTTGCATGCGTTGCCAGCTGAGGTACCTGCTCACAGATGACTCTCCCATGCTGGAATGTTTCAGAACAGAGAAGGCTCTGCTAATTGGCTAGGGAAGTCTGCCACTCTTTGTAGTCTATTTAAAGCTTTCTTATTGCAACACACACGCACACACACACACACACACACACACACATACATGCCTTATGCGTAAAAATGCATATGTCCTTAATAACTGGTGAAACCTCTGAAAAGTAATAGGTTGCCTTTAGGTTTAACTTTACATTCTAAATTAGCATGTGCAAATACATCAATAAAGCCTGTCAGTTTGGACAGCAGTATTAATAAAGTTGTCATAATTGGCTTAGACTGGTGTATACATTTGCTTAATAAGTCATGCTCTTTACAACATATACTAATAGCAGACCAAACGTTTGAGGCTTAAAAGAACTGCTTTCAAGCTCCTTGAAGTACTTCATAAACAGCTACTGAAGTGCTAATTATGAGTTGCTCTTATTTCTTCATTATGTCTTTTCCCGAGATAACAGACTTACATAAACAACTCCAGGCCTCCACTGTGGGTTCTTGACACTGGGAAGAAAGCTTTTTTCAAGCTTCCGTCTCCTAGCCATGCTTCTGGCTTTAATTCTTGTTTTCCTCACCTGCCACTTCCTGCTTGCACGCTGTTTTGTATTTCGTGCACAGTATTTGAGAACTAGCCCAGACTGGCTTATAGATGGGAGACTTCCCCTAAGGATGTGTACTGCTATGGGTTTGGGGACCTTTGCCATCTGTTACATAATTCAGAAAGGGTATGGCCTCTCACCACATTTTCAGAAAGCACTTTCAGTTCACCCCACTTCAGTCACTGCAGCCCAAAGCCCTGTGTGAAGGAAGCCACAGCCCAAATCCCCCTGTTTCCTCCTCAGTGCCAGGCACACCGCCCCTGCTTCCTACGCTGTGTGCAACTTCCCTCTCAGAAGTCTGTGCACTGCAAAATAGCTCTATTTAAACATTTTCCTTACCCAAAGATAAAGGATAATATCGAGGCAGTTTCTTATCCTGTATTAAAAAACAGAACAGTGACTTCAGTCAAACTTTGGAGTAAAAGTTGTTTTTCACTGTGGCTGCACTTAAGTTTAACAATAAATCTTGCCTTCTTTGTGGCAATGATAAAGTTTGGGAGGTAAGTCACCCCTACCCCTCTTGTCCCTGACAGTCCAGCTATCTGGTGAGTCTTTAGATCTTCTCCAAAAATGAGACACGTGCTGGAATGACAGACGCTTGGGTGTAATGTCCAGCCATGGTGACAAGCCTCACGAGGCAGCAAGGCCTTTGCGAGAAGGTTCATACATGAGACTATGGCTTCTCTAAGCTTGTGGGGTGCGGGTAAAGAGGGGGACTCAGGAGTGTGCTATGAGGGTGCTTTTGCTGAGCCTCCAGAAAGCCTGGACAGACCCTCTTCTTGGGAGAAGGGAGCGAATCAGAAAGCAAGAGTCTTCCCACACAGAAGCAGAGAGGATTGTTTACACCCAGCACTGTGTCTTCAATATAAGCATAGTACAAATAACTCGGTAGCATGACCAAGAGGGCTACAAGCATCAGATCATCCTACAGAAGCAACAGAATTAGTGAAGACTTCAGAAACTGCAATTTTAGAGGGCTTACTTTTTTTCGTAGGCAAGTCACTCTGAAATATATGTACAGTAGGGAAAGTTAAGGACACTTGCCTTTTAATAAAATGCATTATACCAATAGATAACAAATAATGAATAATGTTTAAAGTACAAAAGGACAGTGAATAATGTACTTGTGTGTGTGTGTGTGTGTGTGTGTGTGTGTGTGTGTGTGTGTGTGTTTGAGATAGAGTTTCTCTGTAACAGTCCTGGGTATCCTGTCATCTGCTTTGCAGACCAGGC